AAGTCAATATTTTCAACTGACCCTTGAACAATTTAGGAGTTAGAGGTCCTGATCCACCGCACAGTCAAAAGTTTGCATGCAGCTTTTGACTTCCCAAAACATAACTACTAATAGCTTACTATTGACCAAAAGCCTTACCAATAACATAAAGTCAATTAACACATAATTTGTATTTATATGTATTATATATATATAAATTGTATTCTTACAATAAGGACAGAAAAAAGAAAATGTTGCTAAGAAAATCATAAGGGAGAGAAAATATATTTACAATACTAGACTGTATTTATCAGAAAAAAAATCTGCATGTAAGTGGAACTGTGAATTCAAACCTGTGGTGTTCAAGGGTCAGCTGTATTTAGAAGGGACTTGTGCAAGTGTGAGGGGCCCTGAAGGTTAAGATTCACAATAAATCTACCTCTGTCTATATTATAATAAAAACAGACCAAAGTTTCCCTTTGCTTTGCTACTGCAAATGACCGTTCATCTTTCTCATTACTCTGAAACCTTTCAAAGTCATAGTCTACATACAGTGTCTTTGCTTCTATCCCATGTCCATTCTATTGTAATGTTTCTCTAAAACACCATAGACCTCCTAATCCCTAAAGCCCTTGGATTTTTCTTGGTCCTTGTCTTTTTTGTCCTTTCCACAGATAATCTGACACACATTGACTTCTTCAATGACTCAGGGTCCCTTCAATGGCCTAAGTTGTCTTCCCTCCCCTGTGACTCAACGATCATACCCACACTCAAGGCTTCTACTATCATTCTGTGTGGCTGATCTACAATTAATGTGTCTTGAGCTGACTTCCCTTATAAACTCAAGGCCTATAATACAAATTCTCTGAGGTCCCATTATCACCTCAAATTCATCTTTTTTCTGGCTGTATCAATAACATCACTCCCTCCCAGCCACCTGCTCTAGAAATGTCAATGTTACTTTAAATAAGACACCTCTCTCTCTCTCTCTCTCTCTCTGTATCAACTCTAACATCTAGCAGTTCTATCTCAGAATTATCCCTAGAATCAGTGTAGTCCTTTCTACTCCCACTGTCACATCTCCTACTTCATTGTTTCTCTCTATTGATTTGGACCAATCTGAAAGACTATTATTTGAGCTGAAGAAACTCAGAGCTGAATGTGACTTACTCTATTGAGTTAATGGCAGGTCAGATCTAGATTCTGGGTTTCCTGCTTCTTCTTCATGGCTACTTCACAGTTTTAAACCCACTGAAATCTATTTTGTACACATTAATGTCAGGTTAATCTTAACAGTGATGACTCTCACCAAATGAAAGTGTAGTCCCTAGCATGGTATTTCAGCTCCTGAAATCAGGTGTCAGATAACATCTCAAATTTATCTTCTTGGATTATACTGTATAATCAACTGGGCTCTTGGATATTCTCTGAACATGATCATATTTTATCAAGTAATTTCTGGAAATAATTTCCTCCTTGTTGGGTGCTAGTTCAGTAGTTTGAACTTATCAGTTGTGGTCTGATGTTATCTTTATTTGTGAGTCTAGTAAACATTGTGGTTGTCTCAACATCCATTCCATCCCAGATGATTGGAAGTCCACTGAATGATAATGGTCCTATCCATTTACCTGTGATTGGTTTAGGGATGGGCATGTGACACATTTCTTGCCAATGACACACAAGGGAAGACAGCTGGGCAGAATCTTGCAAAGGTCCCCATGTCTTAGAAGGAGACATGGAAGAAACAGTCTTTTCTGACTCTGGATATTGTCATGTCTAGGTGCAACCCACAAGAACTGCTCTACAGCCTCCTTGCTCTCATCCTGACAAAGAAGATGGAGAGAATCTGGTCTATTCATATCATTGAAGATCTAATCACCAATCCTGGAGCCTGCCCTGACTCTGAACTTCCCATTATGTGAAGTAATACATTTCCTTATTGTCCAAGCAATTGTAAGTCACAGTTTTCTGTTATCTGCAGCCTAAAGCATCTGGAAACAGTGTTTTGTTTCCAAAGCTAGACTTTAAGCGTCCTGAATTCAGATTCTATTCTGTCTAGCCCTTTATGGCTTGGCACAGAGCAGATGTTCAAAAAATGCTTGTGAAGTTGATATTTATAGGTTTATATCTGAAATATAACTAGTAAAAGCATTTTCATGTATAAAGCTACTTACTCATAACAATTTAGAGATAACAAAATAAAGCTTAGATAGATTAAATAACTTGTTTAGAGCATTTTATTTCTCAGAGTCATTAGGTTCTGAACAGGTTGTTCCCCTTTGTCTGAAATCCTTGTTCATGACTACCATGCCCATTAGGGTCCCAAGAGTACTGGGCACTGAAGGAAAAAGCAAGCAGCAAACCACTCCAGTGTTTAACCCAGCACTAGTGCCAATACAGTATTCTAGTTATTTCTGCCTCACACCTCAGGACTGGAACCCCTTCTCCTCTTGGTCCCAATTCATAATGGTATCTCTAGTGTCAGGACCATGAATATGCAGAGATCTTTTCCCAGGAAAATGGATAACTTTTATTAAATTCTCTGGAGCGGGGCGCCTGGGTGGCGCAGTCGGTTAAGCGTCCGACTTCAACCAGGTCACGATCTCACGGTCCGTGAGTTCGAGCCCCGCGTCGGGCTCTGGGCTGATGGCTCAGAGCCTGGAGCCCGTTTCCGATTCTGTGTCTCCCTCTCTCTCTGCCCCTCGCCCGTTCATGCTCTGTCTCTCTCTGTCCCAAAAATAAATAAACGTTGAAAAAAAAAATTAAAAAAAAAAAATTCTCTGGAGGGTCTGTGACTCCCTGAAAATTAAGAAGCACTATAATATGATACAATATTTCAGAAGTAAATGAAAAGAAAAACTTTAAAAATATTCTTCATTCAGTGGACCTAATATCTCCCTGTGTTGTTCTGTATTATGTCATCTAAGGGACCAGTAGACCAGGAACCACTTGTAGATCACAAAGCAGGAAACATTCAGACAGCAGAGAAAGTTAGATACCTCCAGTCAAGACAGGTGTAAAAGGAAAATGCAGAACCCCTTGTTGAAAAGTTATTAAGGACTTCAAAAGGGCTACAGCAGAGCATTAAACCAAGCACAAGCTCCTTTTAAGCTAGCAGCCCTGTACAACTACATAGGTTGCACACTTATGGGATGGATACTGCTTCTAGTACGTATTACTAAACATACTATTGCCTGCCCAATTATACTGTATTCCTTTAGACTGCCATACAGTCCATCCATCTAGAATGTGCCACCGATTGTATTAAGTGCTGGGCATTCCAGATAGGAGCATTCATTAACACTGGGTGTCTACGAAAGGTTTTGTTCTAGATCCTGGGGATACCACCCTGAGTAAGACATTCACCTTGGGCAGAGGCAATGAACAAACAAGAAAAATATCAGATGGTGATAGGTGCTGAGAGGAAAAAAAATAACATAGGATGATGTGACATAGTGACTGGGTGGCTATTTTAGATTGGGCGGTCAGGGAGGCACTCTCAGAAATGACATTTGAGCTAAGACTTTACTGAAAATAGGCCAGCCCTGCCTCTATGGGAGGTGGAGGGTTTCCCTAAACTTGGGAAACAGGACAAAAACTCAAGGCAGGAAAGGAAGAGAGAAAAAAGGCCCTGGCAGGAACCCAGGGTAGCGAAGTGGGGCTAGGACTGGGGTTAGAGCAGCGAAGATGAAGGTAAGTGGGCCGATTTGCGTCCGAAGGGCTACCCGCCGCCCGCCGCCTCCCATTAGGGCCTGGCCTGGGTCAGGTGAGTGGGTGGTGTGCCGAGAGCTTAAAGGAGGAGCCGCCCCCAAGGGGCTGGCGCGCGTCCGCAGCAGCGCCAACGTGGCCGGCGCAATAGGCCGCGCACGTGGCCCGCCCCAGGCTTGGGAGCGGGGGCGCGCAGGGGT